AAGATTTTCTTGAAAAATATTAAAAGAGGATAATGGCTTCTAGATAAACTCTTACCGACAACTGTCGGATCGATATGTGTCGTTGCGCAGCTTCCAAGGCTGGAACTGTATTTCATACACGTTTACTGACTATATATTACATATCTCTTATCTTAAAATGAATTTGATCACATGATCAATGTTATCTCTCTCTGTTAGTTACTGAAGTCGCTATTTTCATGTTGAATTCAATGATTATGTTAATTAAAAATTCTTTTAACGATTCGATTCGATTTCATTCAATTCGATTCGATTCGGGTGAAATTTCATCGATTCGATTCGAATTCGAAATTAAAATCAGAGATTCGATTCGATATTAAAATCTTTGATTTCTAGCATAGAACTCATTGGACTCGCAACACTTGTGTATATCACGTTAATACATAAAATCCTTACATAAATTACATACATATCTGTTTTTGTATCGTTATATCTAAATTTCCTAGCCATATATAAGTTGCTGTATTTTTGGTCAGACTCTTGGTCGCGGCTGTACACAAGCCGCGTTCCCGCTTAATCCGGTAATTGCCGCTCTCGGTCGTTCTCGTCGTCGTCGTCGTCGTCGTAGTCGCGGAGGATCGACAAGGGCTGCAAGTCGATAGCAGGCTACTTGCCAATTCCCGTGCACCGACCGACCAGCACAATAATCGTTTATCGCTTCATTCGCCGACCATTATGAGCAAGCACCGTCGGTAATAACGTCTCCCGCTGCGATCATATATCCTTCTGCCAGAGTTACACCGCCGCGGATATCGAAGGCGAACGATTTATTAATCCCTCTATCGGCTCGGTTCCGCGACGCGATATCCCGTATATCCCGAGTAATTACTTGATGAGTTTATAATGCAACGTAATCAACCCGTCACACGAGGGGTACCCGTGTATGCGAAAAAAGCCGCCCCCGCCTTCTACCTTAGTCCTTGTCGCCGTTGTCGTCGTGATGTATGCGAACTTCTTTATTATTCAATCGCGCTGGATTATTAAACCGATTTTGTTTACAACCGCACGCGCGCATAAATCCTATACTGCGCGCGCCGTGAGACGCGTGTCTCTTTGGGTAGATAAAATACGACGTGCGGTTTTTTTCCTTTTGATTCTCTTTCCGTCCTCTTGCGCACCTCGTGTGTAACGTAATGTCCATATTTAATATCCCATTATTAGCAGACACGCGTTTTGGCCTTTTTGCGTCGAGCTTTCGATTATACCCCTAATTGTGTCACACTACATGTACGGATAATAATTCAGGCGAGACCGCATTCAGCGATCGTCAAGTTTAACGAGAAATTAATGACAGCTCTGGGATGAGAAGCAGACACCATTAAAGGACGTTTCTTGCGGAAAAAGACGATTTTTGTATTCTTTCTGCGAGTCATTCGCAAGAAGTGTCGGGAAATGAAAGTACATGCGAAAATGAAGCGCAGCATCCAACGTGATCCGTGAGACGATGCAGAGCGAAATAGTCAAACTTCATGTCATTTTTGAAAATATATCTTTGCGAACGCAAAGATTACTTCAAAAAACGAATATACTGCTACGATGGATCTAATGTTATGGGCGCGAATTTGGGATATTGGAAAATTATTTTTAAGATTCTGGGCGTGTTACTGAGGAAGTAGAGTAACATTAAGTCACATTGTCATCTAAAAAACGATGCAGAACGACATACGCACACTTCACGTCATTTTCGAAAATACACTTTTGCAAACACGAAAATTTCTTTAAGAAACTTTAAAAAATTATCCCAAGCTCAACTAACAACTCGGCTTAATAATTTTGCGGAAACACAATACATCGGTTTGAATCTCGGCTTAATAATTCAACGTAAACACAAAACACTTCGGTTTATTCTCACACGGTTTATTCTCAGTTTAATAATTTAGCGGAGTCTCAAAACGCATCGGTTTGAATTTCGGCTTAATGGTTTACCATAATTTCAAAACAATCGGGTCCGAATCTCGACTTAATAATTTAATTTGTTGTCGAAATTTAATTTGTCGTCTTGTCAACAATAAATGCATAAGAAAATATCTCCGAAGAGATAGTATGTCGTATATAATACGATATAACAAGTTATAAAGTATATTAATCAAATAGTATATATATATATATATGCATACCCTACGTATGCATACGTAGGGTATATATAAAATATATATAGAACATAAAAGAAGCATATATAAAATATATAGAGCATATAAAATATGACGTGTTGAAATATATCAGTTTAACGTATCATCAAGAAATAATCCGACGAGAAGGAAGCTTGCCGAGTCAAAATTTCAATTGGCTATTGTTATGGAAGAATGATCCAATTCAAAAAATTATAAGCTTTTATCAATGGTTACTCCATTCACACCTTTTTAATTCAAACAAAAAATTCAAGTCTCATAGATGCTTAAAATAAATTAAAAGTTTTTTTTATTTTTTACCAGTCGCGTCTATTTGCACATTTTTCTAAGGATTGAGCTAATCAGTACTCTTAAAGAAATGGAAATGCTAGACTTGTTGAACTATTGCGAAAATCTCAGAGCTAAATTCTTTGGTTGGATCATCCTTACGTAACTCGGGCGAATTGCAAATTCCAATTCTTACTTTACTTTCCGTCGGATCTAATGCGATTTACGACTACGTGCATGCAATCTACGTAAAGTGACACTTTGTGTCTACTATATGAGCGTCTAAATTGAGCGCTCACCATTGCACGTCGTCCCACGGTGTCCAGGGTCTACCAGCCATCCTGTCGCTGCAACTGACACTGCAATGGTCCTCGCGTCCCACGTCGCCTGTAATTCACTCCCGACCACGGTATCTAATGGTAATCTAACGGAGGTAATCTAACGAAAATTTCACGAAACATCCCATCTCTCTTGGGGAATACATTCCGAGTTGCGAATTGTGCATGAAATATCGCGAACTGTCTCTTCGAGAAATGTCGACCTTTCGGATAACGACGAGTATGTGCGACGAATTCAGCAACTGTCCGATCGAATTGTATCGCTTTGATACACGTGAATGGCTTACGAAGAAAACGGAATCCGCGAGCGAAGGGAACACGAGACGCGAACTGAAATTTCGCGGATCTCGCGAAATCTTTCGTCGTGTGGACGAAGTAATCTTTGCGATATTCTCACGTACGACACGGAATATCCCTAATGTAACGTTTCGATGGTGCAGCGCAGTAGGCTATAATATAGCTCCGCCATATTTTTGCGGATAACAGTTCCGCCATATTTTTGCGGATAACAGTTCTGCAATACTTTTGCGAAGACAATTCCGCAATGTTTCTGCGAATAACAACTCCGCAATACTTTTGCGAAGTCAATTCCGCAATATTTTTGCGAAGACAATTCCGCAATATTTTTGCGGATAACAGCTCCGCAATACTTTTGTGAAGACAATTCCGCAATGCTTTTGCAGATAACAACTCCGCAATATTTCTGCGAAGTTTGCTCGCGACTCTTCCGCAAATACGATCCAGTGAAATTCGCAAACTTACCAAATTAATAATCGCAAACGCGAGCGTGAATGAAAAATCAAAAACTATGAAAATTGTGACGATAGAGATAAAGATTCTGTTCAAAATTCACGCGAAAAAAGTTACCGCGTGAGAGGTCTATCTTCGTTCGGTGGAACTTGTCGGGTGCCGCGTAAGTAAACAAACAACTACTCGCATGTCTGACTTGTGTACATCGCGTTTTTCGCGAGGGATCAACGCTCGCTAGTATTGTCTCTACTGTATCTCGCTTTAGGAAATTCTAATTCTAAGTGAAAAATTGAAACCTGAAAATTTCCCGACGATTCTGAAACTAATTTTGCGAGCAGTTTATATAATTACGTTAGATCGCTTCGCACAGGTGTCGCACAATATCGAATTTTACTTAATAACGAAGCACGAACTCTACTTTATAAAATACTATTGCGATTCAAGCTCACACAAGAGAGACAATTGAGAAAATTAACGATCAGCGGAAGACTTATGACGCGAGAGATGTAACTGGACATTTTCTGTGGCGCAATCTCTGTGGCGTAATCTCTTTGCGCGTTGGTGCATTTCTCGAGACACCTGGAAGATCGCATTCAGTAAAACTAAATAATTTTACAAAATTTTGAACGTTCAGAGCATATACTCAATACTTTAAGTATCTACCAGATAGTGTTGGGGTTTGATTAATCAAAATTTCCTCTGACAAAAATTATCGATCAATCAATAATTTAAGGTAATTAATTAATAAATATATATACATGAGAGAAAAATACTTGAAAATTTATTTGCCAAATTTATGTAAAACATGCATTATCACTAATATTATTATTTGAAAAAGCGATCTTCCAATTGTTTAGAGCAGTGTGATTTTTATTGGACGGGGCGTACACATATTACAACTGCAGCAAAGTAAATCGCATTGATTCGATAAGCATGCATTACATCGAAAGATTTTTTGTCTTTCTATTATCAACATGTTTTTTGTTTTAACTCACCAAACCGCCGATTAGGGTAGCCTCATTCTGCTTTCGTTTCTGAAACAGAAAACACCATTTTGCCGATTAGATTCGTACATTGATGACGATTTGAGTGAAAAAATATTTAAAGGATTAAAAAAAAAATAAACTTGATATTTTTCACGTTGGGAGAATTTTTCGGAATGCTTTCACATTTGGAGTATTTCTTTCCAAGTGTGAATCACTTTCCTCTTTCTCGACGTTGCAAATAAATATCTTAATCAAAACAAATCAAAATTTTTCAAGTGATGATGTTACTCAGAAAAAATTCTCCCCGCATATAATTACGATTTAACACGATATTTGATTCGATTCAAATTATTTCGATTTCGAGCAAGAGAATTATCAATCTTGTCGGATTTCTAATTACAAATGTTAATTAATGAAGCTCACCTTCAAGCTAATCCCGCTCGGCCCGAACCAGATCCTCCGGCGCAGCAGCCCCTAAGAGTCGGCTAATCGTCTGTTTCGTCTCTGCAATAGAAAGCAGATTTAATTTAGTATTACACGCGACAATAAACGCACTAACAAACTCGATTTTAAACAAGAGAATTTCTAGTTTTATCGGATTTATGAATTCAAATTAGTGAAACTTACCTTCGCGCCAACTCTGCTAGGCCAAAGCCGAATCCTCCGGTGCGGTATTCCCCAGGTATTGCATCCCCTACCGCGTGACTGCGTCTGTTCTGTTGGATCTCTGTGACACAAATTTAATTTAATTTAGTAATTTAATAATTTAGTATCAATTAGTTACACGCGACAAAATGAGGAAAAAAAATTGTCGTAATGGAACGCTCGAGTTCTTCCCCAATGCGCAATAAGAAATAATTAAATCATAGTTGAATAAGGAAGTAATAATACCAGATTAATTAATGGATGATAATATTAATATCTGATCGACAACCATATAATAATATCCGGTAGTATCAATTAATTATATACGACAGCAAGATGAGGTAAGGAAATCGCACGCTCGACGAGGTAACGGCACGCTCGAGTTGCTTCCCAATACGCAATAAAAATAATTAAATGACAACCGAATAAAAAAGTAATAATACTTGAATAATAAATGAATGATGATAATATTTGACCGGCATTGAGGAACTCGATCGCGACGTTTCTTTATTTAACAACTAAAAAAGTAAGTGAAACGCGGTAATTACCTGTCGCGGTAAAGCTCACTTGCTCGCTTGAGGAATACGCGTCTTAATTTGTCTTAATTATTGTCTCAATTGTCGCAAAGTCGAAACGCGATATTAAAAATCGGCACGGAATAATTTAAAAAATAACGCGGCAGCTCCCGATGTGCTCGTCTCGATGGTTGAGAGCGTGTGACGTGACGCTTAAGCATGTACTCGCGCACGCGTGTTTACATGGCCGCCCTGCGCCCCCCCGCCCTTAAGCGCCGCCAGTCAGCGGCACGAGCGAGCCATTACGAGAGTTTGTTTATCTAGCCTTTGTGGAGCCTAGAGTTTTTGTTAAAGCCGTTACCCAGATATTATTGTTACCGATTATTTGATCCTCATTATTTTTTTATTATCCACTCGCGGATATTATCATACGATTGTCGAGCAGATATTATTATCACTACTATTTAATATTCGAGTATTATAATTGCTTTATTCAGTTATTATTTAATTTATTTGATTATTATTTAATTATTGCTATTACGCATAGGAAAGCAACTCAGGCGTGCCGACAATTTCTTTACGATTTCTTCATCTTTGTTCAGTTATTATCGTCGTTGCGATAAACAGTTGCGTGGGCTTTGAGGAAACTATATACAGGGTGTCTGACTCGTACCGTACTAGAGCTAATATATAGTTAGAATAAGTCGGGGTGAATAATGGAATGGGTGTCTTTTTTTAAACAACCACATGAAATTTTGAGATATTAATAACGAAAGATTTCTACCGAGCGGCAGCCTATTGGCCAATCAGCACACGCGTTGCGATAAGACGAATGCTATACGCGCTGTAGCATCGGTATGACAGACTAGTCCAGTCTCTTAGGAACGAGGAAATTGTTGTTTAAAAAAAGACCCATTCCATTACTCATCCCGACCTATTCTAACTATATATTAGTTCTGGTATGGTATGAGTCATATACTCTGTGTATATGTGTATGTGTATGTGTATATATATATATATATATATATATATATATATATATATACTCTGAATATTCGGACGTTATGAAAAGTGCGATAAAAATACGGTGTCATCTCGAAAAATATACATAAACTAATTTTTCGCTCTACTTTATCATAGTTGGAAAACTTAACCACATGTAATCATAAACTTTTCTGCAAACTTTCCGTATCTTTTTTGGCATTGAAACTAAATTCTGAAAGTGTAGTAGTGATCTTTAAAATTTTCCTGATTGGATCACCTATAGTTTCGGCATGTACAACCTACAGAATATTTGTATTAAACAAATATTTCACTAACAGCTCAAAATTTAAATTTAAACATATTTTTTTCGTGTTTGTCACATATTGAGCACTCCAATTAATTTTTGCATGCACTTTTGTTGTGTAAAAGCGTTTGTGATTCTGTGCAAGCAACAAGACGTAAACTTTGTAAAAAAAAGTCAATGTTATATCGGCAAAGTTTTCATGTCCGGCATCCCCTTAACGTCAAAACATATTTGCCCGCAATTTAGATCGGTGGGATCTTTCCGTTACGTTTGACCGAAAGAGAAACAAGCTTTTCTCACGTAATCGACCGCAATTTCCGAACTTTCTCTTTCAGGGGCGACGCCTCACGCACCGCACACGAACGAAGGAACGTAACTCTTCGATGTGTCTTGCCGCAAATCGATCTGCGAACGCGACCTGGCTTGATATCGCGTATAAAAGAGAAGAATAAAGGAAAAGAAGAAAGAAATGTCCCGTTGCAATTGCGCGATGTTGCATGTGCAAGGACGAAGAATTTATGCGGGTTGCAGCGTCACGTGCGTCTATCGTCGAGGCTCGACTCGATATCGAAGCTCGCGCGCCACGCATGAGAATCCAAACACACGCCCACGCACGAGGAAGTCATTAGGATGATGTATCTGATACGAGGCGCCGCGAGTCGACTGAATGACTTTCGAATGCTTCCCATGTGCGACCGCCCGCAGTTTACTTTCTTATACACACGGGGTCCCGCCGTGACACTGTCGAATCGCTTGTACACGACCTCGTATGTGATTACCCAATATCGAAGGCAGAATGCGCGTAAATATTTTCACCTATGTCTTCGTCGCGTTATAACGGAAGATACTGTCTGACCGCACTGACCTGCCCTTGAGAGCGGAACAGAGCCGCTGTATGATACTTGGGCTCAAACGCGGAGATCTGTGCGCACACACACAGAAATATACGTATTGCATTCAAGTGAATGTTGCTTGTTTCAAGTAGGGGGAATTGGAGCTAGTTGGAGTAAGTTGGCAAAATCGATTATTTCTATTATTTTTTAATGAGTTACAGAATTAACCAAGCAAGATTTTTAGACATATCAAAGATGATTTTGAAATCCCTGCTTTCTGTTTGATTCTGAAATCTTTTGTAGAACAGTAAGAATAATCGATTTTGCCAATTTACCTCAACAGCCAACTAAGCCCGGTCTCCCCTGTTTCCTAAGTTTTATACATCCGTAAATTTATACATATAAAATAGAATGTCTGTCTATATGTTTTCTATAAACTCCTAAATTCTTTGACTAACCTGGACTAAATTAGTTAATCTCTCTCCAGAATCTTGCAGAAAATACAGGCCATCATGAAACTTAGACACCTCACTTTCTCCCTCTGATTTCTCCCCCTTACATTTTGTGATAACCTGGTGATAACATCGAGTAGTTTAAGTTAATGTAGCATAAATTCGTTATTAGGGTGTCACATTTATTTAAAATGTATTTTAAGTTCTCTGGCAAAGTCTAGCATTTCAATTAAAATTATTGAATTGAAGAACCAAGCAAGAGTACCAAAACAAAAATTCTGTTTGCTTACCACATAGAGTCAAATCAACTTTTTCTTCGACAAATTTTATAATATTTTTGTAAATGGATTATAAATTCTTCTTTTGAGTATCTGACAATGAGTTTCGTAACGTCTAAAATTTGTGATGAACACATTTTAAAACTGTTATCAAGGAAATATTCCTTGACGATAATCATTATTCAAAGAAGCACAATAAGCTGAGTAATCGCTTTCCTCAGCAGTAAAAAATAAATAAGTAACAAATATTACTTGATAAATAAATATCTTTATACCTTAATACCTGATAAAATCCAAGCAAGAATACTGAAAAATGACGAACGTCATTACGAGTGCCGGATAAATATTGGACTTTTCCCCTTATTCGTGGTGATTTCCAGCGATTTCAATGGTGTCCGTGAGCTATCGCAACTATACATATTGCAGGTATCTCGCGCGGTACATTTTTTCCGTGTTTGCACAACGGTTTAGTTGAAAAATGTCGCGGTCCCTTTCGGAGAGTCGACCGGCGTGTCGCGCTTATAAAACGCGCGAACGCCTTCGCCCGCGTGTCTCTTACATAAATTGTTTAGCAGCGCAGTGTGGGAGGGTCGGGGCGGTTATATTACGGCGACCCGGAGCACAAAATTACGCCATAGTGTCCATTGTGTAAGCATTGTCGACGTACGCAGACTAGTTAAACTTTCGCTCGACGGACATTGAAAACTGACCTCTGACTCTCCTGCCAATAGAATGCTCGATAAATCTGCAGATATCTGATACCGATCGAAGGATACGTTTGACGGAAAGAAAATATGTCAAATAGATAAACGATGTTAGATACGTTCTCCGTCAGTAGCAATAAAAACGACTCTGAGGAGTGATCGTATCGAAACAGTGAACTTGAGTTTTATCTCCTGTCTTTGAGGACATTGTTGCAGTCGTAATTATTTTTCTAGGTAAGAGGATAATAGAAACAGGCCTCGCACAACATAACGTCTAAAATCGGCTTAAAGATGTCTCCCAGACGTCGGAATATAAGACTCTAAGATGTCTTTAAGACGTCTTATGTCTCAATTTTAGACGTTGTATTGTGTATGTGGGACGTTATTATCTGATATTATTTTTTCTGTTTGTTGTATTTTTGATACAAATCAGAATTATCAGAATGACAAGTCCGCGCGCAATAAACTTCTCATTATCAATGCTCCAATGCGGAAACAGAGAGATATACCACACCGAAGCAATGGAAACCTTCATGCTACATTGTAACCTTAACGCGTATCACCTTGGAGTCATATAAATTGATTCACAGAGGCTCCACCGCCTTAGTAAATCTCTTAGTGAATCGCTTAAAAATTACCGTCGCGTTTATTTCGATTTTCGAAATTAGCCACGACTATGAGCACTCATGGGAATGTTGATTTACGGAAAGATGCCTCGAATAATATCGCGGGGTCGCCCTTTGTGGAGAGGAACGATTCAGAATGATGGCACATAAAACAAGAGAAAAAGAGGGACGTGGCAAGAGCGAGCGCCGATCGAGTCCGCGATGAGTCGTAAACCCCTGATCATTATTTTCGGATTAAGGAATTCAAGCCGAATGGCCATTCCACAATTAATACGCGCGTATTTCAATGAACACGCATTATAACGCGCTTCCGCGTAATTCAAATATACATTCAATGCTCCAGCTACTCGCGACTAAACCTGCACTCTCAGAAGATTTCTCCCCGAATGGACCATCCTCTCGTATCCCCTTAAACTTCTTCAGCGCACGACGCACTCGGCCAAGCTTTTAAAATCAGTCCGCACGATATGCTGCAGCATATATCGTATAGTATTCATGCGTTAAGCGTGCCTGGCGATCTCAATATCGCGGCGAATCGTACGGAAATCTATGAATGATACGTCCGAGCGAGCGCTACGCAGCTCGCGCTGCAAAGGACACAGATTTGCATAAATAATGCGTCGTAAATATAAGTTACAGATAGGTCCTAGCCGCGCGCGTTATCGTGTGGATCCTGACGATAGAGATTCCGTGCTCGCCGCGTTTCACTCGTCGTAATTTAAGAAATAAGCACCGAGAACCGTGAGAACGTGTGCGTGTAATTCCGCCCGTTATTATCGGGATACTAGACGCAACTGCTGCCGTGCAAAAATGTGTCTTAGGTACGGGAGGTAATTCCGTCACGTTGAAGACCGTATCGGACTTCTTGGCGTAAAGAATGTTTCGTTAGAAGTTGCTCGAAATTGCGGGAGTTACGCGTGATATTACGTGTAAAATTGAGTGTGATAAAACGCGAGTATAGCTCTTTTTCATAAAGATTTCTCGGCGAATGAGAAATGTTTTATTGTCTCTTTGGCACCTTACACTGTTCGCGCAATGTCTATGGATTCATACGTACACTCGTGCACCACGCCCAGCGGC